AACACAGTTTGAGGACGGGCTCCCAGAGGCTCTAGGTGCCGATAACAGTGTTAGGGAGGATCTAGGTAACTGCAAGTGTTTATGAGGATCTGGGTGACTTCAACAGTGTTAGGGAGGATCTGGGTGACTGCGAGAGTGTTAGGGAGGATCTGCATGACTGCACGAGTGTTAGGGATGATCTAAGTGACTGCGACAGTGTTAGGGAAGCTCTGAGTGGCTGAGACAATGTTAGAGAAGATCTGGGTGGCTGAGACAGTGTTAGGGAAGATCTGGGTGGCTGAGACAGTGTCAGGAAGGATCTGGGTGGCTGACACAGAGTTAGGAAGGATCTGTGTGGCTGAGACAGTGCTAGGGTATATCAAGGTGGCTGAGACAGAGTTAGGAAGGATCTAGGTGGCTGAAACAGTGTTAGGGAAGATCTGGGTGGCTGAGACAGTGTTAGAGAAGATCTGGGTGGCTGAGACAGTGTTAGGAAGGATTTGGGTGGCTGAGGCAGAGTTAGGAAGGATCTGGGTGGTTGAGACAGTGCTAGGGAATATCTAGGTGGCTGAGACAGTGTTAGGGGGGATTTGAGTGGCTGAGACAGATTTAGGGAGGATCTGGGTGGTTGAGGCAGAGACAGTGTTAGGGAAGATCTGGGTGGCTGAGACAGTGTTAGAGAGGATCTAGAAAGTTACGACTGTGGTTTGAAGGTGTGGATGACTGAGACAGTCAAGCCTGAGGAGCGCTGAATTGCTGAGGCAGCGGCGAGAAGGGCTGGGTAGCTGCAACAGTGTCCGTGAAGGACGGCTGACAGCCACGGGCGGTGGGTGTGGTTTATGTGGTTGGCGGAGATAACGGGTCATGTACATCCCACTGCGGGATAACACCTTCAGTTGTCGTGATAATAGTTATCAGGGCCGTGTTAACCTAATGTGTGGGTTATAGCGAGTTGATGTTCCCTTCACCGGTTCATCATGCCGCCTTTGTAGCCGCCGCCTCCCACGCCGCCTCCGTTGTCACCAACGCCTCCTACGCCGCCGCTGCCTAAGACGCCGCCTCCGTTGTCGCTGCCACTCTTGTGTGTCCTGTTAAATGACACCTTCCTTCTACATGTTCTCCCATCCACATCATACCTTGCCCATTGATTTTTTTTCTTTGCCGACCATTAGTCTGGTGGTCCGCTTAAGGTAAGAGTGAAAGAGGTACTCTTAAGTCAAGAAAGTAGTAGTCTCAAGACTTTCTTTGGTAATCAACGATTAGAGGTAAGCCAAGGAAAGTGGTAAGTGGTGAATATTTAAAAACAAGATGCTCTTTACATGACAACAATGTTAACTTGTTAGCAATGGGAAAGTAAGAAAATGTGTAGTTTTTTATTTGTTAACCCTTTCAATAAAACATGGTAAAAAATAAAAACATAGCTTTATACAAATTTTATTCATGCAAACTTTATTTGGAAGCAGAGAATCGTACAAAAGTAAAATTTTAATCATATAAAAGTTCTAATAGAAAAGACAAATCATATGTCTTTTTTTGGGTTATTGTTAGTTGATTCTCCTACAATTTTATTGCGTTTTTATTTAGTCTCTCTAATCTAGGTTTACTTTTTTCGGTTCTCATTCTCCTCAAACAAACACAGCTGTCTGCATCAACACCACATCCTGCATCAACACCACATCCTGCATCAACACCACATCCTGCATCAACACCACATCCTGCATCAACACAACATCCTGCATCAACACCACATCCTGCATCAACACAACATCCTGCATCAACACCACATCCTGCATCAACACCACATCCTGCATCAACACCACATCCTGCATCAACACCACATCCTGCATCAACACCACATCCTGCATCAACACCACATCCTGCATCAACACCACATCCTGCATCAACACCACATCCTGCATCAACACCACATCCTGCATCAACACCACATCCTGCATCAACACCACATCCTGCATCAACACCACATCCTGCATCAACACCACATCCTGCATCAACACCACATCCTGCATCAACACCACGTCCTGCATCAACACCACGTCCTGCATCAACACTACATCCTGCATCAACACCACATCCTGCATCAACACCACATCCTGCATCAACACCACATCCTGCCAATCAACCACCACATCCTGCATCAACACCACATCCTGCATACAACACACCACATCCTGCATCAACACCACATCCTGCATCAACACCACATCCTGCATCAACACCACATCCTGCATCAACACCACGTCCTGCATCAACACCACATCCTGCATCAACACCACATCCTGCATCAACACCACATCCTGCATCAACACCACATCCTGCATCAACACCACATCCTGCATCAACACCACATCCTGCATCAACACCACATCCTGCATCAACACCACATCCTGCATCAACACCACAGTCCTGCATCAACACCAATCCTGCATCAACACCACATCCTGCATCAACACCACATCATCATCATCCAACACCACATCCTGCATCAACACCACTCCTGCATCAACACACATCCTGCATCAACACACCACACAACCTGCATCAACACCACATCCTGCATCAACACCACATCCTGCATCAATCACCACATCCTGCATCAACACCACATCCTGCATCAACACCACGTCCTGCATCAACACCACATCCTGCATCAACACCACATCCTGCATCAGCACCACATCCTGCATCAACACCACATCCTGACATCAACACCACATCCTGCATCAACACCACGATCCTGCATCAACACCACATCCTGCATCAACACCACATCCTGCATCAACACCACATCCTGCATCAACACCACATCCTGCATCAACACCACATCCTGCATCAACACCACATCCTGCATCAACACCACATCCTGCCATCAACACCACATCCTGCATCAACACCACATCCCTGCATCAACCACATCCTGCATCAACACCACATCCTGCATCAAACCACACGTCCTGCATCAACACCACATCCTGCATCAACACCACATCCTGCATCAACACCACATCCTGCATCAACACCACATCCTGCATCAACACCACATCCTGCATCAAACCACATCCTGCATCAACACCACATCCTGCATCAACACCACATCCTGCATCAAACACCACATCCTGCATCAACACCACAGTCCTGCATCAACACCACTCCTGCATCAACACTACATCCTGCATCAAACCACATCCTGCATCAACACCACATCTCTGCATCAACACTACATCCGCATCAACACCACTCCTGCATCAATACTACTCCTGCATCAACACCACATCCTGCATCAACACCACATCCTGCATCAACACACATCCTGCATCAACACCACATCCTGCATCTAATCCACATCCTGATCAACACCACATCCTGCAGCAAACACCACATCCTGCATCAATACACCTACATTCTGCATCAACACCACATCCTGCATCAACACCACATTCCTGCATCAAACACCACATCCTGCATCAACACTAGTCCTGCATCAACACCACATCCTGCATCAACACCACATCCTGCATCAACACCAAGTCCTGCATCAACACCAATCCTGCATCAATACCACATCCTGCATCAACACCACATCCTGCACAAACCACATCCTGCATCATACACCACATTCTGCATCAACACCACATCCTGCATCAACACCACATCCTGCATCAACACCACATCCTGCATCAACACCACATCCTGCATCAACACCTACATCCTGCATCAACACCACATCCTGCATCAACACCACATCCTGCATATCAAAAACCACATCCGCCATTCAAATCCAATCCTGATAATCACAATCCTGCATCAAACACTCAACATCCTGCATAACAATTAATCGCATCAGTGTACACACCTGCAAATCAACAACATCTGCATCAACCAATGCCTGCATCGAACACTACATCCTGCACAACATGTCTTCACTATCAAATAACAACTCCACAGTTAGATTCTCTTGTTAATTGCGTGTAATTAATAGATGCTCGACAGTGCATATTAAATACTTAATCAAATTCTACATTGTTGTTAAACTAAAAAAATATCACAATATAACTGGTTTCTCAATATACTACAAGCCTCTCTCAGCACCTTACTCCCCTACATCTCGTAAATTGATATCTCAGCAATTCATTTAACAACATTGAGTGACTATTTAATCTTAACAAAATATAATTCTATGGCTGTTCTGGGTTAGTATACCTCGTTAGAGGTTTATGTTAATTCCATCATACACAGAAGAGTTTTTCATATTATCATGTCTTTGTTTAACTTAGTCTCTGTCATCATGACTATCTGCCTCTAATCATGTGCACTCGCTAAACCCGAATTATCTTATCAGCATCTCAGTGCACATCATATCACAGTCCTAAACCAACCACCCACATCAGCACGCCACTAATCGAAGACCTAATGGTTTTTGTAGGAATCAACACCTACGTAAACAAATGTAATTGTTTATCGGATTAAAGTTTTTATTATAATGCTTTTGTTGAGTATCAATGTTTAAATGTATATAGTTGTACTGCTGGATGATAATGTAAGAGACTGATTGAGGACTCGAAGCATTGAGGTTCGGAACTACTGAAGCAGGCATGCAGTGTTGCGTTCATACAACTGCACGTGTTATACTCTGTGTATATATTCTGGCAGGTGTATATTGTGTATATTTGCGAAGAGTTAATTAAATACTTATATTAATGTCCTTGACTGGTGGTGAATAGGTTACAAGCAGCCTTAATAACTCAAACATACCTCTCTTGGGACAACGTTATAAACACTGGTTTTTCTCAATGAATATACCAATCATCTCTCAGTCAATACACGAGTATAGCTGTCACCCCATAAATATTATTATATTTAATAATATCAGGCAATGCAGGTGTACAACTATTAGTCGGTACAATATATACATGTATATATACAATATATACCAGTCTTGACTGGTGGTGTACTGGTGAAATGTGGTCTTTATGACCCTCGTGTAAGTAACAGGCCAGCCCAACTAGCAGTGCGTCTGCCAGTCAGAAGTGAGCGTTGTGAGAGTCAGTGTGGAAGGTGTTAAGTGAACGTCATGGTGGCCAGGTGTTTTAATTAACGGTGCTACTTGTACATTGTGGATCTATGTGTTAAATATTGGTGCTCGCAATGGAAATCCGGAATTATGTCGTTAGTGTGACAGGCCGATGAATGTCCATCTATCGTTGTAGAATTACTACACAGTAAAAACTATAATGGGTGCAACAATAGCCCACCCTGACTAGTCGTAGGATGACTGGATGAACAGACAAACACCTACAGTCATATTGGACGATGTCTTGCTGTGAAGCCTGAATCAACACGCCATAACTGTGTCAACAAATGAAATATGCCTCGTGAGTCTGAGTGTATTGTAATTGTTTACCGTTTATCTTTACGTAATGCCTCCATTAAACTAAACTGAAAGTAGTTAAAGTAAATTATTGCTTCTGAAGGCAATTAAAATATCTTAAAAGGCAGTGAGGGTGGTAAGACCCGCTGGTGGCTGTGACCGCCTACACAATGCCTAATAGAGCACGTCTTTGTGAGAGAGTTGGGAGTTATGACTTGACCGGCCTGAGAGGGAGGGTCTCCCGCTGGGCTCAGGCAAGAGGGAACTGCGAGACCAAGTTCATTTTCCTTTGCTTTTGAAAACTAGTATCATGGTAAATGGCGGAATTTTAATTAGACATGTGGACAGTCCCAAGGTACACAACAATATGCAACTTAAGAGAAAAACATCCGATCAGCCTCGATTTAACAGAAAACATGTTCACATTAACGTCATGGACAATTGTGCAGGAATAATTAGTACCTTTATTAAAAAAATAAGTGTTTAAGAGAGCTGTTATATTAGTAAAATTGTTAGCTGAAATTTCATGAAGGCCTGAATTTCTAATGTATTTAATTGAAATAAATGATGCTTCGAAAAACCGCAGTTTAATACTAATATAGCAAAAGCAAGATTTTTTGACGAGTTTCTAAAGCAACCTGTCAACGTTGCTAATGACGTGGGCCCAGATAATGGCATATTGGACAAAAAAAAAGAGGGAACAGTTAATTAGGAAGCAAGTTATGGTCAGTGGCAAAATTTTAACATTGGAAATCCGAGGCTGTGAAGCAGCACACAGGGCAAACTCTACCTTGTTGTCATCCTAACTCAGTGTTAACAAAAGTGCTCAGAAAACTATTGTCTCGACTTCAAATTACATGTAATTAATCAGTATAAGTATTGCACAGAAATGGAGGTATGTCATTTTAACATTCCATTACCCCACTGCTATACAAATTTTTTATGAGCGTAAAAAACTGAATATTTAAACTCCCCAGTTCTATCGTCTATCTCAATAACAAAGACTTACGGTGGGGTAATTACGTAGGGCTCATTATCTTGTTTTTAATTAGAGGAATGGTAAGCACATGATTATGACTGGTATGAAATAATGAACAGTGCATGCACTTACGTTCAAGAAGTCGGTAAAAGGCAATATTTGTAAGCATTGGCCAGCAAGCCATCATATTCAGTTGCACTACCTATCAATCGTGACATTATCAATTCAATTCAGAGGTTATTTGAAGGTGTTGAAAGTGGAGGGAGTAGAAGACAAGGTAATAATCTGTCCCTCAGTCTAGATGGTGTTCACCACTGTAGTCTCAGTGAATACATTGCACAACATCTCAGGGAGCTTAAAATGGGTTACTTAAATGAGTGAGAAGGGTTGGACTTCAGTGGGACCGGCCTGGCATTGGTATTAGGGTTAATGAAGCCAAATCCTTGGGTGGCTTTAGGAACAAGGTGAACAAATATGTTGGTGGGAATGATTGAATTTGAGAAGAACCTGCCTAGGCCTGCTGTAGCGTTTATTCGTTCTTATATTCTTTTGTACACTTGCTTACAGCTGCTCCTGTCCTTGAGCGTAACTTGTGGCGTGTTGCTGACCGAGGCGCATATTCTGACTGCCCACGGCTTCGGCTTTTCCTGATCTGAGGTATTTTAACACTTGTGTAAAAGTATTTCTTGTCCTGGGAGTTTTGTTTGTGCTAGTGTTTATTTTTGTTTTATCTGGGTGTTCTTACGTGCGTTTTATTTATGTTCTAAGAGCACTGAATGATCTTCCAGATCATAACACTGTTGAAATCTCAAGACTTCCTTCGCTCCTACCCTAGTCAGTAGTATCAACGATTCGCCAAAGTGTAGTTGCTGGGGCAAATGTTCTGAACTCTCCCCTCTATAAATACGTACACGTGCATCCAATAGTTGAAAATGTGAAAAAGCATGGAAACCTTAAATGAGATAAAGTATCGCTTGGAGATCAATCTTTTTCAAGCGTATAAAATACATGTTATGTACAGTATAGTCGAGAGAGCAGGTGATGGATCCTGAGGTGTGACCCTGAGTGTCAGATGATATTTGTGATGCAAAAATATGCATGTGCGCGTATTCGCGTGCACACAAATCCGTAACTGTCTCACACTCAAGTATTTTGTTACAGCCACCACTAAGGATGGCGTGGATGCCTGCATTCTTCTGGGGTATGGTGTTAGGCTTAGTAGTGTTTTGTAGATATCTTGATATCCTCACTGCACCCGGCTCAGTGAGGATCTCAGTTCTACTGAGACTTCCATTCAGTTCAACTCTGAAGAGGAAAATAGCATTACTCTCCTTTTTGTAAGATGTCCTTTTACAGGAAGACACTGTTTGCAACTCCTTCAGTTTAGTGTGTGCAGTAAACCAATCAACAAGAATGACATTCATCTGTGATCTCGCCACTCCACTAGAACTGTTGGTTTTTTCCCTAAGGGTTCTCAGAATTTGCAGCTTACACTTTCCTGCCACACACAGTCGAGACCATCAATAACCCCATTTTCAATCTTCCCTACTTCCACTGTACCTGAAAATGTATCTAGGTTATTTAAAAAAAAATGTCTGTTATCACCGCCATTATCACCTCCACCATCAAAGACATAAGTAGTCCTAAGAATTAACGCCAACGCTGAGTAGAATTAAGACATCTATATCTAGGGATTTGATCACATGCGTATGTACTAACACATTTGTCCTATTAGCAACATGAGCAACCGTCGTATTTTACATTGTAACACGGCTTCACACCACACAGATTGGACCAGGCTGAGCACTGTTATATATGAAAAAGACAGCATCACCCAGCACAGTATCAGATTGGTGCGACTCTTGGCTCGTACACGGCTCTCTTGGCCTGATAGTCGGGTGTACACTTCACTACCAGGCTTAGGGTAATTACATGATTAAAAGACAATTACAGTTACTGTTCCAGATTTTCACTTAGTTACTTGATAAAATAAATTGCATTTACAATTATTTCATATTTTGTACACAATTATTCAATTACTTCATATTTTACTACTGTTGAAATTTTTGTTAAATGTTCGAAATAATAAGCAAACATTTTGCTTCAGATGAACATGTGCATAATATTTGTTACACTAAATCAGCCAAAGATCCAACAAGATTACAAATAACTTAAACTTCGTTTCACATAATGTGCTGAACTGTGTTAGATCTATGATATAATATTTAGTAATTTTTTTCAATTTAAACAAGGAAACTGCACCAAGAAGCTGGGCAAAATTGGAAGAATTTTTACAATGAATCGTAGCAGAAAGTTGCAAATGAGTTATTTCACATGCGAAATAATGAAAACAATTTTGACATTAATGGTGCACAGCAACTTACGTGAATTACATCTATTTTCATATATCACAGTTGATTAAGATTCAAGCATGGAAGGTACTCGTAAATTTGTGGGCTGTAAATAATCAGAGGTAAGAGGAAGGTTGCAGTCCCTAGCAGTAGCGAGCTGACTTGTACTGCATGAGAACTTATCTTGTGAACGCTGTCTCTGTTCTTATACTCTTAGCTGCGTCCTAATTTCCTGTGCTAAATAGTTTATCTTCGGCGGCGCTGAAGTGGCTGTACAACCCATTATTTCTCTTGCTTGTTGTTTAGAGGGAGCGTCTATGGAGAAGAATCCCTGCGATAGGCAAAGGTCTTTACGTCTAATAGAGCACACTTCTCTTGTATATACCTTTTAAAACTTGTCTTAGTTTATCAGTGGGTGATTTCCGTTCACGTCCAGTTGCAGAGAGCATGAACGAAAAAAGATGCAGCCCAGTTTTATGATGCAATAATTACTGTTACAATTACTTATTAATCTAAATGTTGTTAAAATTGCATTTACTAAAAATGAAATTAATTGCCTTCAGCTTCAATTACAATTACTCCAAGCCTCACATGACAGCTTCTTCTCTAATTGAAACACTGAATTCTACCATAGTCTTTTATTTCCTTGTCGGTTTAACACCCTCTTCCCCACCCCTCAATAAGTTCATTATAAGGTAATAAAGAGGCAAGAATATACTAAATATTTTACTAATTCAACTTTGTCATTAAAACCAGTACCAGTGTTAAATGAATTGCTAAAGTAGTATCAGCAATATTGAATATAAAGAGCTAATTATTACTAAAATCTATTAACAATATTTACTCTCCTGTCATGTTTTTAGTCTTTTTTTTATTTTTTCTGGAGTTTTTATTGTGTCGGGTTGAGCACTGCCAGCCTGTCTTTACAAACTGGCTGGCCTGTCATTGCAAACTGGCACGTCCTTGCATACTGGTTGGAGAGTCATTGCATACTGGCTGGACCGTCCTTATCTCTCCGGAGAGTCCTTGCTCTCTGGCGGAAGACTAAAAGAGCACAAACCACCTCGCCTCTCAGCCAATACAACTGAAATTTAAATTATCTTGCACAATTAAGATCTCTATTCATAACTTATTATCTTTCATAAAATAAATGATTGCATTAAAAATATTATTTTACTATGACTTTCCATTGTGCATTACCACATAATAATAATGCAGGTCACTCTCAATTAAATTGTCAGGAAAACATCACCTAACGCAGATATTAAAGTTTGATTTGCATAATATACTGTATAGACAGGTTCAAATTTAGATGGGTTATAGTCGATGAGTGATTATTGAAGCTAAAAACTTGGGTAGCTTCAAATTTAGGGTAACTAAGGTCATGAGTGAGAAGGGTCGGATTTAAGTGAGACTTGCACATGAATTAATTGGGCAGCATTTTCAGTGCTACCGAAAGGTTTGGGCTTGAACTTGCCAAATATGGGCCAGTAGGCCTACAGTGTTTCTCCTTAGTGCTCTTATACGACAGTTAAATTATAGGAATTAGATCAGGGTATGTTTTCCTGTCATATTATACACCTCTCAGGATGGGTTGTAAGCATGAATTAATATAATCCTTTAGCTAAAGCTGGAGAAGTAATGGAGAAAGATGAGAATAGTGTCAAGTATTCCTCTAAGGGTAACTTTGGAAGATATGAGCTAAATAGATTTCTGTCTAGGAGAGCTCGAGTTAAGGTTATATCAAAATTCCCTCCCACTGGTACAGTTAGCCATATGGCAAGGTTGCTTATAAAAAAAAATAAAGCATCTGTCATGTGCCTACTAACCAATGTGAAGGTGGGGAGAGCATCAAGGACGGCTGGCTCACCCGCAATGATCAACTTCATCCTCTTGAGTGTTTTACGTACAAATATCTGTCGCTTTTATCAGTTTTATTATCAGGCAGCTCTTAATTCCGTCTTATTGTGATGTTGCTTAAAAAGAGAATATGACGCCGCCGACCTCGTTAATTAATGCTTTAATTCAAGAGAAAGATGGTTTCAATTTCTTGGATCAAGAGACCTTCACCAGCATCAGGGGGTCACGACCCTTATTATGTTATTGCATTTATTCACACCGTTACTCTACGATTCGTCTTCAGCGTCACAAATGACTTGTATTGTTTTATTTTTAGGCGTTTTTGAAGATAGCAGTATTTAAATTTTCTGAGTTTAAGAGCTGTTGCTGCAAAATAGTGACTTCGCGACTGGTTTTGTCTTTAAGAAATTATATATATATAATATATTATAGAAAGAAAATCCCCAAAAAGAAAATACTTACGTCATCATTCAACACTTTCACCCCACTCACACATAATCACTGTTTTTGCAGAGGTGCTCAGAACACAACAGTTTAGAAGCATATACGTATAAAGATACACAACATATCCCTCCAAACTACTAATATCCCGAACCCCTCATTTAGAGTGCAGTCATTGTACTTCCCATTTCCAGGACTTAAGTCCGGCTATATAAAAATAACCGGTTTCCCTGAATCCCTTCACTAAATATTGCCGTGCTCACACTCCAACAGATCGTCAGGTCCCAAATACCATTCGTCTCCATTCGCTCCTATCTAACACGCTCATGCACGCCTGCTGGAAGTCCAAGCTCCTCGCCCACAAAATATAATGCAAATATAATTATATATATACCGTGCCGAATAGGTAAAACTGGTCAAATATCAAGAACTCATTTAAAATCAAGCCATTTCTAAAATTTTCTCTTATGCGTTTAAAGATATATTTTTCATTTATGTAAATGTAAAAAATTAATAATTTTGTTAATAAGAACCTTAAAAAACTTACCTAACCTTATTATAACAAGCACAATTTAATTTAGCCTAATCATTAGGTACGAAGTGATTTGTGCGAAATTATTGCATACACAAATTTTCGCTTGCCTTATTCGGCAAGAAGAGCGTTGCTATTTAACCCAAAACCGCAGGTTTTACCTCTTCGGCACGACACACACACACACACACACACACACACACACACACACACACACACACACACACAACCTACCTACCTACCTACCTAGTGGTGAAGACGATAGTGTCGTACTGTCGGGATAAGTCGTGTTAAACGACTTTGATAATAGATGTACCATGAAAGCTTATGGAGCCGTAGAAAGAGTGTGCTGGATGACAGTTGGTAACCCTGCCACTGACAAGTCACAGAATTTGTGTGTATAATCTCGGTCATGACCATAGAATTGAGTCAATCATCTTCACATTTTATACCTTCGTATACGGCATTCGACAAGCGTGTCCCAACACATCTAATCCAACCAGGTCTCGGTTATGGCAATAATATTTATTTACTGGGCATGCAGTTAGGCGATTAAGTTCGTTTATTTTGCTGCCTTGGCTCCTTTTTTTTTTTTTTTTTTTTTTTTTTACATATTAAGGAAGTTTTTACTTCGTATCTCACTCCTCAGTTTCTTAATGCTTTTAATCCACATTGTTTTTATTAGTAATGTTCTCTCTATCCTTATTAAAGATTTATAAATGCTTATGCATTAAACAGCGACTATTTTTTATTGTTTACAGCTTTGTTGTATTGTTACATAAATGTGAAGAAATGCTCAACATCTTAGGGGTACGAGAGGCTATCAGATTTAATCTAAAGAAGAGGAGATCAGGTTCAATTAATTGGATCAAGATCCCCTCATCAGTAGTCAAAGTAACTCCCTTGATGGGTCACGGCTCTACAACACGGTCCCGTGACACACACCCACTCATTCAGCCTCCATTAGCCTAGATCTTCAACCAATGTCCATATACGTATACACAACCTGCAGCGAAATTTTCTCTCTTGCTTATAGATTTACATCCCTGTTTTCCCAAGCACACACTTTATACTATCTGCCCCTTAAATGAACTGGCTACCATTGATGTTGTGTGTGTGTGTGTGTGTGTGTGTGTGTGTGTTTCGCACGCGTGCGTGTGTTATTATATATATATCTGCAAAACGCGAATAAGAGATAAAAGATGCAAAACAACCAATGGGGGGAGGGAGTTGTAAGATAGCTCTAGGCCTTTCGTGTTGTAATAAACACATGCTTGCAATGTTGCGGGAAAGATGATAAAATTCGAGCAAACTCGGTTTTGCTAGAATGAGGGAGGAGGGAAGCAGAAAATAAGTGCACAGGCGTGCCACCTATGCCAGTGCCTAGTGCCTAAAAGGTTGAAAAAAAATTTTTTGCCATAAATCGGCAGAAATCAATCTTAGCATATCGAGAAAAATATATATCATTTCATTTATTTTAAGGAATATTAAATAAATTTAAAGTGTACTATGTTACACATAGATATATTAAAAAAATTAAGCTAGTTTAAGTAAGGTTCGGTGAGGTTTCTAAGTTATAGTCCAAAAATAAAAATATTTAACCAGTCAGTGAAAAAAACAGAGCTATCTTTCAGTAAAAGTTTTTTGTTGTTGTTTATCTTTGGAAAAAGAGCATTTAGCCTGTTCGGCTTATTAGGTAACATATGAACCGATTTAGAGACACTCAGAAAATTACTCCCTGAGTTTCCTTCCCACACGCTGACCTGTCTTCCCACACGCTGACCTGTCTTCCCACACGCTGACCTGTCTTCCCACACGCTGACCTGTCTTCCCACACGCTGACCTGTCTTCCCACACGCTGACCTGCACTTTTGAGAGGCGCAATCTTCCCATATTCATGTTCTTTCATTTTTGTACGGTTTTTTCCACGTGGGTTTTTACTGAACGTAAAAAGTTTTCCCTTGCACCATTTTCCTAGTTTTATTTAATTTGTGGTAGTTGTACTAAGGGTACAGTATACTTTTACAGGTAGTACAGTATGTAGAAGGGTGGTACAATATGTAGTTCCTTCAAGAAGGCCCTTGCGGTGGTGAGGGCTTTGCAGGGAATTGGTCTTGTCCACGTTTCTGAATTAAGCCTGAATCCTACCCCCCCCCACAGGCGCTGTATATCCTGGGGTTTAGTGGTTCCCTGTTTATAATATTAGTTCGGTTACAAATTTTTGATTTGGTTTAAATGTGCATTTAAATAAAGTGAAACCCCCCCCCCCAAGCCCTAATACAGGGGGGGTACATTCAAGGTTACGGGATGCAAAAAATTTGAAAATGGGATACAGAGGAAGAATAATAGATTGTGAACAATTGAACAGTGGTAAAAGGGGTATATGTAGATGGGGCCGGGTATGTAAGATACGGAGGATAATTAAAGAAAAAGGCGGCCCCATGTAAAAAACGGGTTGCACAGTAATAGGTCATGTGGGACAGTATATAGATATAGACGGGAAAAATAAGTTCCTGAGTGTTCTTGACGTAAACAGCTCGGTTAAAGGTCGCTTTCAAGTTCCATTCGATTAGCGCAGTTCTTTACCCCTCGCTGAGTTTTAGCGGATTATTAAACATTTTTTCCTGTAGTTTTTGGGCGCTGCGTATTTTTTTGCTATTTTTTTCCTGCAAATTTTAAAAAAAGTTTTGGGTCTTCTGCAAAGGAAAGCGGGGTTCGATCCTCCACCTAGCAAGATAGCACAATGCCTAATTCGTTTTGGCTATCTACCCCTAGACAAAGCAGGTCGTGCTAACAATCATATACCGGGAAAAAAAAAGGTGTCGGCTTTCCCCCCTCCCTCTATTTCCCCGCATCGGGGGAAAGGGCCTTTCTCCCCACCCCGGAGCAAAGTGCCGCCCCCCCCTTGCCCCCACGG